TTGTGCAAAACCCCGAGCATGATACTTGTTATTCCCGATCTTCTGCTTGGGGAGGTCCTAATGGATCCCCTCAAGGATTGTGGAAATCACACCCAAAGATAGGCTCTGACTGCTTCCTTGGGGCAGCACTAGAGCCAAAGCGGGCGTCTTGGTTACCGCAAGCAATGAGGTAGAGAGGGGTCTGGTCAGACCCTTGGCTCAGACAGGCACCACTCCAGCCAACCCCACCGCAGCCCTCCCTGGACCTCTCCAGGCCAGAGATGCCACGTGTCGGTGACACCGCTCTGGGGTAAGGAGGGCGCTAACTTGAGCTGAGGCACAACTCCCAGGAGGCCTCGAGTCCCTTGGAAGAAGCTTTCAGAACATCCCCGAGCCAAAGAGACACTGCTTTTTCTTCAGCCCAACAACTGGAATTCTGAAAAATCCCATTTCTTTAGGGCAGGAGACTGGGCGTCTCACCCGGAGTCCCAGAGAACAGGAGCCCCACCCCAGCACAGCTGTTCCCTAAGCCGGGGTCCTCTGGTTGAACAAATTCTCTAAGCCAAGTGCACACGAGGCCACACGAGAGGAAGATTACGGGCTGGTTAGAGGAAGGGGTCCCGAGTCATGGGCACACAATTTCCCCTTCTGGAAAATGAAGACAGTCACACCCAACGCCCAGAGACAGGGTCAGGATGCAGTGGAATGAGGAAGTACTTAGCACCGGGGCCTGGCACTTGCTAAGTGCTCCAAAGAAACTGGTTGCTAATGATGATGGTGATGATAACGAGGTTGCTGCAGTGACTTGCCCTCTGGTGCTCTCTGCCCCAAATCCTGCTGATTGCCTGTGTCCCCTCACATACCCACCCTCTCCGGGGGTTGGCCTCACCTGAAGCAGTCCCCGCGGGCAAGGGCCCTGGTAAAACCCAGGCAAACCAAAGCTTTCTTTCTACTGAGGGTTCCAAATACATTTGCAGACATATATATTAAAACTCCATTCCCTCAAAAATAAATTTCCTTTCCCAACTCCTTCCACGAACCTGTTCTTAGCAGCCAAACTCTCTGTGGCAGAGAGCTCAGTTCTTCTGGGCACACCCCATTATATCGTTGGGTTTTGATAAACTGCTGTTTTGGGGTTTGGTTTTTGGGTTTTTGTTTTTGAGAGAGAGGGAGAGAGAGAGAGAGAGAGGTCACAAGCTGGGGGGAGGGGCAGAGGGAAAGAGAGAAAACCCCAAGCAGGTTCCACCCTCAGCGTGGAGCCTGACATGGGGCTTGATCCCACAACCCTGGGATCATGGCCTCAACCAAAATCGACTGACGGAGCCACCCTGGCACGCCCAATGAGCTGCAGTTTTTAATAAGCTGTTGCTTGTGCTTCGAATTGAGCTCTGCTCACCAGAAACAACCTCACATTGGCTTTAGCCCTCCAAGAACCACAGGGAACAATCCCACCAGCTTCCCTCCGGGACAATTCTTTTAACGCATCTCCGTGAACCCTTAGGCCTGAGCTTCAGGTAGCTGCCCTGCCTGTCTATTCTATCCCAATCTTCTTGAGGGATGTCCTTTGGGCACAAATAACCCATGAAACACAATCCTGGGCAGCCCCCTCTTGGCTGTGAACTCCTAGTCTAACGTCCTGAGCGTTGCTGTCTTTGGGCAGGCCTAACTCTCCCCAGAATGATTAGGGAGATCTTGGTCAGCTGAGAATCACTCTGTGGTGTGAAGCCTTGCTCCCCTGTCCTAGCCGCATGACCTTGGACAAGTTCCTCAGCCCTCTCTGAGCTTCATTTGTCAAGTGGGGATAAAGACTCTTAGCTCGAAGGTGGTTGCAACAATTTAGTGAGGTCAGGCAGGTGAAGAGACGGGCATAGGGTAAAAGTTCAGCTATTATTGTTTTTAAGATGGAAAGTTGCGGAACTCCTTGAGGGGCAGAGCAAGAGAATCAGCAGTCCCTGGAGGCACAGGGAGGCGCCCGGGTTTTGAGGTGAACTCATCCCATGCCAGGCGGATGGACGGATCATCTCGCGGCAAACAGCTGGAGCTCAGAGTGCCAGCCACGCCTGCCCCAGCAAAGGGGCCTTGGGGTTGACACAGCCAATGCCAAGCCAGATGGGACAGTGGCCAACTTTCCAGTCGACCCAGATGTCTGTCTTTCTCAGACAGAAACTCAAAAATGTGGCCTCAATCAAAGTGGCTTTTGAGAGCTGTGTGCTCTTTGGACCCAGCAGGGGAACTGCAGAATCTTCGAAAAACTCCCAACGGTTAGGAAGACGTGGCTGGGGTTGGGTCCTGGAAGGTCAGCTGTATCTGCCACTCAGAGTGGAGGGAAAAGGGAGGGGATCATGGCTCCCTGAGCCGAGGTCTCCCGGAGAAAGAGGAATTTTTGCGGAAGAGAAGGGATTTGTCTGTGTCATGTAAATGAGACTTCAAGACAATTCTTTTCCTCCTCAGAAATAGCATCATTCTGCAGGAGCCTTTGACCATCCAGCATGGAACCTCAGAAGCCAAAAGGACTTAGAGGAAGCCTTGAACTCACATAGCTCCCTGGCTGTTGGCTTTATTACTCCCCTCACCCCCTGATCCTGCTAGATGAACGGGATGACAAAGCTCTTCCCCGAGGGACACAGCCTTATTTCACCAGAAGACAAGTAGAGGCTCAGAGGGGCAGAGCCCCCGGGCCTGGGAATGTTCTCGAACACCGAAGTCCTGCCTGTCTTGCCAACCATTCCCAAACCCACCCCAGCAGCGCAACTTTTCTTCCGCTGTCTCTGGCACTGTAGCCTGCTAGTCATGCCTACTTAGAGAAACATCTATCCCCCACCCACAGCCGCAGGCTCAGTCTGGCACCCTGTCAACACACACAAGGCTCCTCAGTCTTAGCCTGTCTCTATACGATGCCCAGCTGCACTTTAATGTGTTTTAAATGTTTGCGTTCCCTGGTCTTTGTTATTTCTTGCTTGGTGTGCTGGAATGCTTCACACTCTAGGGTTTGCACCCTGGCGCCCAGCTTGCTGAGATGTGCTGAACACAGTGGGGGAAGGGGGTGGGAGGCACTAACCGGGCCAGGGAGGAGGTGAGGGCACAGACTTGGGTGTGCTGTGCTCTAGGAAATGTCGCTCACTCTCTTGGTCTCACCTGCCTCTGCAATTCCCTTGGGTTGTTTGTTAAGCTCTTTCCCATCTTATTGGTCTACTGTAATAATTCTTCAGCTCTCATCCTGGATGTCACCTCCTACAAGAAGCTTTGCCGGATTCATAAGTTTGAGGTAGGATCTTCTACAGCACAGGGAACAGATGTGCAGGTTGTGCACTGCACAAAGGCACCACATTTACGAGAATCGCTGGCATCCTAGATTTGTATTTGTGAAGACTGTTTGGAACAAATGGAAGTAGAACCTTCCTCTAATTTGTACAGAGGTGCCATAGGACCTATCAGTGGTCCCGGTTCTGCCGTCTGTGTTCCCACAGCACTTGACATGTGTCTAGTTAGTGCTACCTGTATATACCCCCCCACACCTCAGACTGTAAGCTTGGAGAAAGGAGACCCTGCTTCTGCTAATTCTCCACTGTCTTTCCAGGGCCTGCACACACTAGGGACGCTTCAGATGGGTGCTTCGTTAATGTCAATATCTGTGGACTGAATGGAATGTGGGATACGGAAGTCTCAAGGGTGGGCCTCACTAGAAGGAACAGAAATGGGTTGGGGCAGGGGGTGGAGAAGAAAAGGGGTGAAAGGATCTGTGAGCTGCAGGGGGAGATGCTGAGCAGGTCAAGGCCTTGCCCCTGCCCTCCTCCCGCCCCCCGCCCCCCAACCCTGAGCCAGTGTCCGTGTGTCTGTTCTCTTTTTCCCTTTTTAGAGGCATACTTTTTAGCAATTATAACAACAGCTACTGTTTATTGACCTAATGCTAAGGACACGCATCCTCTACGCTCCAGAGCAGCCCTACTGGCGCTATCACTGTCTTCACCGTGCAGATTGGAGACGGCGCAGAGAAGAGGTCAGCCAGCAGAGCTGAGACTGGTACCTATGTGTTGCACGCTCAAGCCCGGAAGCTTAAGGCTACCCTCTGCTGCTTTGCCAAAAGTTCCATCGCACTGCAAAACCACCCATACTTCGCTTTAATTTGGAAAATACGGTCACTGCCCCACAACCAAGTCTGAAGTGAGGAACAGCCCTGTCCCTCCCACCTTTAGGCTCCAGGCCAGACCCCCTACGGAGCCAACTCACCAAGTCAATTGTTGACAGGCAAAAGAAATACATGCCAGGCCTGGAACCAGGCCCAGGAGTGGGGTCTGGAGGGAGAAGACGGGCTGAGCGGGCAGAAGCCATACTGAGGCACAGGCACCTCATCACCCACCTCCCAGTTGTCAGGTAGATGTCTACGAGAGCAGCATGAATGGGCATTTTGCTGACTCCAAAATCCTCTGTGCTTGGCCCACACAAGGCACCTGGTGAGCATTTGCTGAATAAGTGAACGAATGAACGAACAAATGAATACATGTTAGGTTTGCCCACCATCCGAAAGAGGGCAGGGAACTGGGTGTCCCATATCCCAAGGCAGAGGGCATTCTGGGACAGACACTCAACCCGGACTGGGTTGGAGACAGGAAGCGAGGAGGTGAAGACGAGTCCTGGAGGCCCCATTAAGGAAAGAATGAGGGAAACGCTGAGTCACTAAATCAAGACCACTGGGCCCCTGATACGTGGGCAGGTAGGTATGTAGAAGGGGGCCGAGGGGTAGAAGGGGGCCCAGTATGGGACAGGATCCTTAAAGTCTGAGCAAGAACAGCTAGCAAGAGGGAGGAACCCCTCCCAGGCAATCAGATAGACAGGCAGTCCAGGCCGCATGTGCTGTCGGGAGCCTCAGCCACCAGCCAGAAGCACCCTCAGAGCAGATCTGGAAAGCCTGCCCAGTTTACCAGCCTGTTCTACCTGCCTGGCCTCTGAGACCCCGATGGGAGATGAAGTGAAGGCCAGGCCTTGGGAAAGCTTCACCCTAGACCCTGGCACCTAGCACTCACCTGGTCTGGGTGGGCACGGGGCACACGAGGTCACCCCCCAGAAGGCTCCCACACTGCCGCAGCAATCCTCTCGGGCAGTCAGCTCCAGCAAGGGGTTGGCACACTGGAAAAGAGGCCGTGGACACCCATCAAACCCTTCCCTGCCGTGCACAGAAATGTCCCAGGAAAACCCGAGACAGGAGCTCAACCCCAATTTCCTACTACAGGATGCCTCCACCCGAGGGAGGAGAGAAGAGAGTCAGATGATGTCCCGGCAGAAAACAAAGAGACCTGCAGTCTATTCTACCAAACCCTAAACTTGGGGGCAGGGCACACCCAGAAAAGAAAAGATCTGCTCTGTGCAGTCCTGCAACCTGCCCTCTTCTGTGCCCCCAGCCCACAGAGGGTCCCAAAAGATGGGTTTTCCTCCATCAAACTCCAGGGAACTATAGGGTCACCCACCATGCAGGCCTTCCCCATGAACAGGGTCTAGGCTCAGGGACACTACATGTTGAGAGGTCAAGGAGGATCTAGGGACTCAGAGTCTCTATCCCTTGGCTACTTCCTACCGCCTCCAGTTCCCTAACCCCAGGAGGGGGTTCTGGAAACACCAAAATGCAACCCCAACAAAAACCATCCTGGGTCTGGCTTGCCCCATAGTTTTAGATGCCTAGACTCAGAAAAACTCACCTGATTTCCCATCACTGACTACGGATGCCTCCGGGGGGAGGTGGGGGGAGGGAGGATGAAGTGTTTCTCATCCTTTACCCCCAAGGCTTTAGGGTTTAACCTGCCTTTTCTAATTCCCCACCTCTGTGGCCCCAATCTCAACTGAATACCAAACTCTTTCTTGTCTGGACCTAACAGCCCTACTGTTCATGCACCGGGAGTCCTAGGCTCAGCTCCAGGAGAGGCCAGGATTTACTGGGAACAGAGGATGCCGATGCCCTTCCAGAGGGGGACTCTTTTGGGTCCTCTTCGGCAGGCCTGGCACTGACAAGTATCCTGTGGAGCCCAGGTAGTAAGGAGCCCTCTCCTCACTCGGGCAATTTTATGCCCTGAGCTTTCCCGTACGGGGAATAGAAGACTGCACACATCCATTCTACAGGACGAAGAGGAGACAGAGAAGGAGAAGGGGCAGAATGAGGGGCAGTCGCTATTCTGGAAGCCCTCCGGGCTGAGGCAGGGGATGCATTCTCACCTGTCCGTTCACAGAGCTCAGATAACAGCGGCCCAGCAGTCCCGGAGGCCTGGGTGCTGCTGGGGGCGGGGGCTGAGGGGCCTCTCCAGACCGGGCGGGGATGCTGTTGCTGTCCCAGTGGCTGTGGCGGGGGCTGGCGGGGAGCCGGGGCGAGGGTCTGGTCTCCACGCTGTTCTCCTCCGGGGCCTCGCCCCGCACCCGTGCCACCTGGTGGACCTGCACAGAGGCCTCCGGCGGGTGGTGAATGTGCACCTTCACCAAGGAGGGGTTCACGGAGGCTGGGCACAGGGGCTGGGTCAGAGCCGGCAAACAGGGACCCGCCTTCTGAAGAGGGCCCACCACCCCTGGGCCGTGCAGGCCACTGGCTGTATGTCTCCCCCAAATTCTCCTTCCGTTTCTTCACTCTCTGCTCAAACCCCAGGACCACTCCCCAGCGAGGACAGGACGGGGCACAAACTCCTTCACTCTGCACCTTCCAATGAAGGACCTTCATTATCAACCACCAAACTACCTCTCTGGATTCTAGCTCCCCCCACAATCGTATACAACCCCTGAATTCCAGCCCAACTGACCCTGCAGGGCCCCACCTCCGCACGTTTGGTCACGGGCTGGCCCCCCTGCAGGGGAACCCCTCCCACCCTCTCTGCTTAGTCAAAGGCTCTCCATTGTTTAATGGCTTTCCTGAGCATAGTCAGGGGGCTCTCTATCTGCTGACCTCCTATAGAAGTCTGCATTTTTGGCTACCCTTTACCTGGTACCTGATAATGGAAGGCAGGGGAAATGAAATGTTTTATGATGATATTCTCTCTCCTATCCAGCCCGCCTCTATTGTTCCCTGAAGGCAGCCCCTGCCCTTATACTCTTACACCCATAGCACCCAGTAAGGGGCAAGGGCAAAAAATATATATATATTGATGAATTCAGAGGAAGGGCAAAGAGAAGTTTAGCAAGTGAAACCGAGCCCCGGGGGAGGGAGGTCAAACCGAGAAGGAGGGAGGTTTGACCAGAGTCAGTTTCCCTGCCCTCCACCACAGGACCAGCACCCCCGCGTCCTTACCCAGTGCACCCTGAGTCTCGCACTCACCCAGCTGGTTGGAGAGAGGCAATGTGAAGGTGGACTGCCTCAAGGGGCCTTCCAGCAGGGCCCTGTGGCGGGAGCCCCTCTCGGGAGGCCCCTTGTCCAGATTCGGGGCCGGCAGGTGGCAGAACTTCCCAGTGGAGTTGGTGGGGCACCAGCACTCATCCCTGCCGATGCAGCGGCCTCCGTTCAGGCAGGGGATCTGGCAGAAATCTGTAACATCGACCTCAAGGTGACTGCTGGTAGAAGAACACAGCAGCACCCACCATACGGCTGGCGGGTGACCACAGGGAAGCAGCGGGAGCAGGAGCCCAAATCTGGGCGGCTGGGGGGGTCCGGCACACCCTGAAATGCAGGGACTTTCCAGGAGGCCGGGAATGAAGAAGGGTAGACGATAACCAGCCCTTGCCTTTCTAAAGAGCCCTTTCACGCCTTTCCTGGACCCCACTGTACAGTGGGACCCCTCCCCCCTCCACCGAAACCTGGGGGACAGGAGGGCAGTGGCACTACGAACTCCCTTAACTTCTCTGTGGAGGAAACATGGACTCAGGAAAGTTATGTGACTTGCCTAGAGTCGCACAGCCAGGCTGTGGCAGAGCGGGGTGAGGACTCGGCACTCCGTGTGACTGGGAACAACTCACAGAAGCCACAGGAGGAGAGCAGTGGGCTTCCTTCCTGCAGGAGGCCTGGGCTCCTGCCCAAGGCAAGCCTGTCGCTCTGGCCACCCTGTCCCCTCCCAGGGCCTGGGAGCCATCTCAGGGGGAAGGGACTCACAGATTCGGAAGCCAGACTTGGGGTCATGCCCGTGGCCACCCTGGCTATACAGGGTGGTGGTGTCGCCGCGTTCACAGCTGTTGGAGCAGTGCCCACGGGCACAAGTCTGCTTGCAGATGGTGGGAGTGAAGACGATCTTGATCTTCTTGATTTTCTCAGTGAGGTTCAGCCCTGCAGAGAGAGGGCTTGGGTCCAGGGGGCAGGGCTGAGAGGCACAGCTGTGACCTCCAGAGGCTGCTTAGAGAGGCCCACGGGGTCAAGGGTGACTCCATCCCAAGGGCATTTTCTAAGTACCTACTGGAAGCAAGGTCCCGTAGTGGGGGCAGGGTAATACCTTTGAGAAGCTCACAGTCCAACAGCTATTGGGGGACGCCAAAGTGCCAACCATTCAGCTCATGCTTTAGGCAAATTAGCTCTTATCCCTCTTGGCTGAGTATTACTTTAGGTCGATCCGCTAGAAATTGCCATTTCTGTAGGTTAAGATAACTGAACATTGGCACTGTTCCTAATCTAACGTTTCTCTTTTACAGATACGGAAACTGAGGCCCAGGGAAGGTTGGGTTGCCCCAAATCACACACCAAGCAAGTGCTGCAGCTGGGCTTTGAGCCGGCAGGCAGAGAGAAACGACCGAGCTCAGACTTGCCAGAGCAGAGTCAGTGCGGGGAGCTAATGCCCTCCCAGCTGGAGTGTGCAGGTGGAAGGGGAGGCAGGGTGACCAGTTGGGAGGTCACTTTGGCCGCCCCAGCTGATTCTGTAACACAGGTGGTGGCAGTGTAAATACAGAGGAGAGGTGTTCAATCAGCATGGGGAGCCTAGGGAGGGAAGCCAGAGGGAGAGGGGTAGAGGAGGGAGGTTTAAAAAGTCTACATAGACCGTGTGTTCAAGAAGCTAGCCCGTGAGAGGAGAGATAGAGAGGAAGCCCAAGGGAAGTGGGGGGGGCGGTGTGTGCCCGTGCAAGGGTGTGAGCATGGAGAGCTGACCAAGTATATTTGCTGATGGGAAGCGGCTGGGAGAGGAGACAGCGCGAAGAGGGAGGAGAGAGGTGCAGGGGGGAGGGCAAGGGATGGTCTAGTGTTCTAGAGGAATCAAGAAGGTGGACGCCCCCCTTTCCAAGATGGCAAGAAAGGTGCTCACGGACTAAAAAGAAGAACGAATACGGACAGGGATAAACCTCAAAAACATTACACAAAGTCACAAAGGGCTACATATCGGACAGGCTCGGTTTACGGCATGTCCAAGATAAGCAAATCTGTAGAGATAAAGTAGACTAGCGGGGCCCGGAGCTTGGGAAAGAGGCTTAATGGGCATGCGGCTTCCTTTTGGAGTGATGACAGTGTTCTGGAATTGGATAGTGGTGGTGGTTGTGCAAAATTATGAATCCACTAAAACTCACTGATGCGTCCACTTTAAAATGGTTAATTTTATATGAATTTCACCTCAACTTTTAAAATGGGAAAAAAAAAAAAGAGGTCAGCTCAGGCACAGGTGTAGGTAAGGGCATCGTGTGCATGGTCACATGGTGAGGCAGGTGGGCAGGAAGGTGAGGAGCTCTCCCAGGGGTGGCAGGGTGCCCATGTGCTGACGGGATGGCACTTGGGGAAGTGGGGGCAGCTTGGAGTAGCTGCTCTGAGGGATGAGAGAGAGACAGAAAAAGAGAGAGACAGAGAGAGAGAGAGAGAGAGAGAGAGAGAGAGAGAGAGAGAGAGAGAGAGAGAGCGAGAGCGAGCAGGCACCTGGGGAAGGACTGTTGGGCAATGACCAGAATATGCAGAGGCATGAACCTGCAGGGATGGTCAGGTGTCTCCTCTAGAAAGCAGAGGCCCGGCTGTGGGTGCTAAGAAAGCAACTGGCCAGGTTGGTCCAGGAGGGTTGTGCTTTGCAGGAAGGATGAGGTGGAAGGAACAGGGTCAGGGAGGTGAGGTTCATGGCTGGATATGAAGGAAGCAAAGGCAGGACGTGTGACAGGGGCAAAGTCTCCGATCAGCTGGTTTGGGACCCTTGGAGCCCGGCAACAAAGCAGGCATTTGACGACTGTTGGTTGATTGGCTGAGAAGATGAGTGACAAGCTGAAACTCAGCCCCTCTGTGAGAGTGGAGGGGAAGGTCAGCAATTTAGATGCTCTGCTCTTCCAGGACCTTGAGACGGGGCATCCTTACCCCAGGGGGATGACGGGTGGTCCAGATACGCCGCCTGCTGGGTGCCATCCCTCCGCTCAAGGCCTGGCCCTGCGGGCAGGGCATTGGAGGTGAGTTGACCGCTGGCTGCGGTGGTTGGGTAAAGCCGGGCCGTCCGGGACAACCCCACGTGCTGCTGGGAGGGCTGCGTCTGGCTGAGCCCACTCAGGGTCCTGTGGAGATAATCATGGTACAGGGGTTTACCACCTAGAAGCAGCATCCCTGTGCTCTCTGTCCCCACTTGGGCCACCCACCCCGCTGCCTCTGCACTAGAAGAGTGCTCTCTGTTTGGCTACCTTCTCCCCATCCATGTGCAGTGACTCAGGGATATGGAGGTGCCCTGAGGTAGGGGGAGTGAGGTAAGGTCCGCCAGTTTGTTCCATGGGAGTGCCTATCCCTACGAGGGATAGCTAGGCTTTTGCTGGGCTGTTCTGGGTGAGTCAGAGCCTCTCTGAGCCTCAGGGCCCTCGACTACAAAACGAAGGTGTTAGACTGGTCTCCTGTGGCTCTGACATTCTGAGAGTCTTTGAGACTCTTAGCAGTCAAGCTCTGCCCCCCAACTGAGTCCTGTGCCTACCCCCTGCCACTTCATAATTCAACCCTTAACACAAATTACCTGTGGACTACGTGCCCAGCAAATGCTGATTCATAGATTGATTTGGGAGGCAGAGCCTAGAATATCCCTCTCATTTATTTTCATTGTGCAAATAATACAACAATATTCAAGGAGAAAAAAAATCGAATTCATCATCCCCCTGCCCCCACCCCTCAAATACTTTGCACATTCCCTTTCTTTCTAATATTTTTATTTCTTTTTGAGAGAGAGAGAGAGAGACAGACAGACTGACAGACAGAGTGCAAGCTGGAGAGGGGCAGAGAGAGAGGGAGACACAAAATCTGAAGCAGGCCCCAGGCTCCAAGCTGTCAGCACAGAGCCCAACACAGGGCCTGAACACACAAACTGCGAGATCGTGAGCTGAGCTGAAGTTGGACGCTCAACCGACTGAGCCACCCAGGCGCCCTGCATGTTTCCTTTCAACCTTTGCTCAAATCTATGTTCTTACCCTATTGTCATCGCCTGTAGGTGCACCTTGAGTTATTATTTTTTTCACTTAACATTAGATCATACTTGATACAATTTCAGTTTTCATATTTTAGCATCTCAATTGCTACATGATAGTCTATCAGAAGACAAATCACAATTTATTCAGACATTCGCCTGTTACATAGATTGTTTTTAATTTTTTTATGAAACATTTATTTAGTTAGTTAGTTATTTTTGGAGAGAGGGCGAGAGAGAGAGAGAGAGAGAGAGAGAGAGAGAGAGAGAGAGAGAATCCCATGCTGGCTCCACACTGTCAGCATGGGGCCCGAAGTGGGGTTCATGCTCACCCGATGTGGGACTCGAAATCACAAACTGTGGGATCATGACCTGAGCCGAAGTCAGTTGCTTAACCTACCGAGCCACCCAGGTGCCCTGACTGTTTTTAATGTTTAACTGTGGACATACGTACTCATGTGGCTTTTTTCCATCTGTTAAAATATCCCTTTAGTATAGGGGGACTCGCTATACTATACTATTTTATTCTGTGTATTTGAAAAATATGTATAACAGACATTTAAAAAGGACTATTATTTTAGGATTAATTCTGTGGACTAGAATGACCCTCTCAAAGGTTCTAAACATGTCTGGCTCTAGGTGCACACTGGTGCCTTGCTTTCAGAGAAGGTTCTATCAAAGGTAGTAACGTACCACTCAGAGGGCACCCTCGACATCCTAATGTATTATTAATTTCTCATGCTTGGCTAATTAGGGATAAAATGGTACTTCATTGTTGCTTTTCTCTCCTTTATTACTTCTGAGTTCACATGTTCTTCATGGATCTTATTTACTGCCTTGAAAACTTTCCGCTCCTGTCCTTTGACATCTTAACCGTTTGAGTTGTTTGTCTCACAAATGTGAACGTGTTACTCATATGTTTATTACCAGGCCATTCTACAAAGCAGCCTCCATTGTAAATATTCCATCACTTCACAGTGTATATGAACCTGTATATGATGGTGTCTGGACCGTGGCGAGTGGGATCACACTGGGGCCATTGAAGCTGAGGGAGCAATTCCTTCTCCAAGACTATACAACAGGTAAATTGGGATTGGGCCCCAGGATTCCAACCTAGAGCATCCTGACTCCTGTGCCACCCAATAGACCAGCCCAGACCACGATGGAAGCTCAGCCTAGAAGCATCTGCTCAGGCCTGGAGGGTGCTCCTTCCCCCAGTAGGTCCCAACCCTACTTGGGATTCCTTGCCCAAGGTCCTGGGACCCTCTCCCTCTGCTGCCCCTACTCCAGTTTTGTTGACCCTGGGTGCTTAGGCCATGAGCAAACTTCCTCTTATCCTTCCCTGGCAGAAGCCAAATCAGGAGAGTTGCCAGAGGCCAGCACCCCAGTGCTTCCCCAGGAAATGTTTGACCCTTCCCCAGGCCCCTTTGCTCAAAGCTTGGCTCCCTTAGGCTTTAATGCAGCTCTTCCTTCCAGGGCCACCAGCAACAAATCCTTACTCTGACGGGCATGAACCATGCCTCACCCTGCTTCCCGGATTTGGGGTCTGGAGTGGGAGAGAGGTCCTGTTAGCCACTTGAGAAGTTCTGGGAGATGTAATGGGCCAGAATGGGGAGCCCAAGCCTCAGGCACCTGCTCCTCACTACTAGGAGAAGAGTAACACAACCAGCTGCAGCAGAAAACACAATCCTTTCAATAGCTTCCCAGAGCGTGCCTGAGAGAGAGAGAACGAGCAGGTGGGTTGGTGGGAGTCTCCTCCTGGTGGCACCAGGCTGGTGCCACGGCTCAGCTTAGTGCCATCATCACAAAGCACCTTAGAAAGATGAAGGGAGTAGCTCCTGTTCTGCCCAGCTCTTCACCGTTTTGAACTTGACCAACAAAGAGATCCCCAATCTGGTCAAGGTGGAAACTCAAAGGATGCTTTCTTGGCGGTTTGTTGTCATTGTTGTCGCTGCTGTCACTTGTTTCTCTAATGGAACTCAGTGCTAATGGCCCCAAGATTCCTGAGTCCAAATCCTAAGGCTAGAGGTTAATGTTGCAGAGAAGAAAAAACCACCACCCACAAAGAAAGTCATGCATTCCCTAGTTGTAGATAGGACCTGGCTGTACTGAGGAGAGAGAACAGGATTAGGCCAGGCAGATGTCAGTTCTTCCTCTTCTAGAAGAATGGTCTTGAGCAAGTCACTTAGCTCCTCTGAGCCTCAAATTCCTCATTAGCAAAATGGGAATAGTGATACCACCTCAAGGGGCTGCAGTGAGGACTAAGAGAAACCGTGAGGCCATGGGATTGCTTTGCAAAAATAAACAAATGGTCACAAGTTGAAAAATATGCCCAAAATTTAAAATCACATGAACAACAACAAAAGTGCTAGATACGCTTTATTTATTTATCTATCTATTTACTTATTTTTATATTTTTAAACATTTTTATTTATTCTTGAGAGACAGAACATGAGCAGGGGAGGGGCAGAGAGAGGGAGACACAGACTCTGAAGCAGGCTCCAGGCTCTGAGCTGTCAGCACAGACGCGGGGCTCGAACTCATGAACTGCGAGATCATGACCTGAACTGAAGTCGGCCACTTAACCAACTGAGCCACCCAGGCGCCCCAATGCTAGATACACTTTAGACAAGCCCCTGAAAGTTCTTATTTATCTAAGGAGAATAAAAGACTTCCCCAAATGCTTTGTTTTACTACCACACATCCTTATATGTCAAGGGCCAAGTGCCCAATCTCGTGTTCACACAAATTTTAACGACCAGAGTCTCCTGAACCCAATCCATCGTCATCTACTGCTGTGATGGGGATGTGAGGGTAAATGACAGAAATGAAAAGTTCTGCCCAGTCTGAGAGGCTCCCAGAATAAAGGAGGAAGCCCCTGGTTCTTTGATAGTTTCTATCTCCTCCACCGAAAGTACCCCCATAAGGAAATTGCCATCTCCCTTCATAAGCCCCAGCTCAGTCCTTGGAGGGGGGCACTGAGGTCCACCATGTGAACAGGGGTACAGGTCCCTTGGTCTCTGGCTGGTCACTCGTGCCATCAGCACTTCGAAGACCACAGGCATCTAGGGTGGGGTGCAGACCGTGAGCTGCGGAGTCTGTAAGCCCAGTAGTCTGGCTTTGTGTTAATCTTTGTACCTCATTTCTTTTAAGTGAACCACAAGCCGTCAGCAAAAGCTTGTTCGTATGCCCCAGGTTATGGGACATCAAGAAAAGGCTGTGGCATCATGTTCTGCCCAGAGTGGTCTAAAGAAGCAATGCCCCCTTAAGGACAAGCGTGGTGGTGACAGAGGCAAGCTAGAGGTTCACTGAGAAGGTGACTTTCTTGGACCACAGCCCTTTGGGAGAGGTCGTGTCCACTCAGCTTTGGAAGAGCTGCTTCGATTTCATCAAAGGATAGCGGTTCTCAAACTCTCCTGGCACACGAATAGAAGTTGCTATCTCTCTGGGATTGTTCCAGGGAAGTCCTGGCAAAGCAGCCACAATGAACCAAAACAGCTGTCTCTAGACTTTAGGATCTTGTGGATCAGTAAAGTTTTGAAACAAATGTAGAGGAAAAACATAAAGTTGCCAATTTTTTATTTAGGTAAGTAAGAAATTCTCTCTCTCTCTCTCTCTCTCTCTCTCTCTCTCTCTCTCACACACACACACACACACACACACACACACACACACACACACCCCTACCAATTACTACCGCCATAATTCCATGAAATAAAAGACATTTCAATGTCAAAAGAAACACTTGACTAAAGCTTAACTTGACAGAAACCTTACCATATTGACTTTATTTTCGTTTCTCCATGGACCAATAAAAAATTCATGACAGGCTAGCACCAAGCCAAGGGGAAGCCACTGGGCAACATGATCGCCCAAGGTCTGCTCTAGTCTGAGGACATTTGGGCTCTTTCAACCCATTTGGGGGAGAAGACTTCCTGTCCTTGCCGGCTGGGATCTTCAGACCCAAGCGAAAACTGCCTGGACAGTGCATCCCGTGATGCCACTCAGTTAACTGTGGTGTGCCCATATCCTGCCATCCTTAAAAGATATTTTACACTGAGATTTTCAAGAGCAATGGGGAGACAACTGGATGAGGGCCTCCATACCTTCCAC